AAAATCATTAAAAACTTTAATAAATCTATAATAAATATCTAATAAACTTTTTAGATATCTAAAATTCTTAATAAAATTTTCAATAAATCTCCCTAAAATTCTAAATAAATGTGTAATGAAACTTCTAAAATATTCAGTAAATCTTCATATAATCTTAAATAATAATGGATCACTTAAAGAAAACTTTTAAAAAAGTTGAAGCCCAATTAATTCCGCTTATATGAAAATTTTAATTTATAATTTTATATCCAATAACTCATAATTCAATCACAATTTATTTTTAATGAAAATAGATGTTTAATGATCGATAAGAAATGATATATAATAATAGTAATAAAAGAAAATAGAAACACAATTTATAGTTTTATATGGAATTAAAAAGTTGTGTCTGAAAAAAGATATGTAATGATGTAATAATTGTTAGAGGTGTAAAGAGTGACTAAAAATAAATAATATAGTGAGAGGATAAAAAATAAAAAAATAATAACAAACAAATTATGAATATTTAACTGCATTTTCCGTGATGTACTAATGCGTGATGTTCCTACTACAACATTGACTTCTCTTTTCTGTAATAATTATTTTCATTTAGAGTGAAATAACTACAACCTAACCATTTCCATCAATATGTATTCATTATAATGACCAAGAAATGCAATTGCTATCAACATTCACATGATTTTATGCATTGTTTCTGTTCAAAATTCAATCTTTTTTTGATGAATAAAAATCCAAATTATTCACAAGTATTAGAGCAATTAATGTTTCACTTTCTTCTTTGCACTTTTTACACGTTAATTATGATTTTACACACTTTCTTCTATATACTTTTCACACGTTAATATATAATCCAATATTCCAATAAACCTTTACTTATTCCATGTCATAATACTTTCTTCTCTACATTTTCCACACATTAATATATAATCCAATATTCTAAAAAATCTTAACTTATTCCACACGTTAATATATTAAACCCACACCACATGCTTCTAGCACAATGATGACTTCCCCTTTCCCCTTTTGCTTTCATTCATTTTCATCAAGTATTAGAACAATTAATTTTTCACTTTCTTCTTTACATTTTCCACACATTAATATATATTCCAATATTCCAAACCTTAACATATTCCAAGTCTTCTAGTTGAAGAATTCTTCATTACAATAATGGAATACTACATCAGTAGTATTCTAACCAATAAAATGTTTATAAATCATAAGATTCTCTTTCCATCACAATCATTAGAGGTTTCTCATGTTGGTTTTTATTAATTATGATTTCCACAAAAGACTAGACTATAATCAACTATTGGTTGTCACATATCAACCATTCATTGTGAATTTTCTTGAAATAGCTAAATCAAATAGGGTAGGAACTCTTGATTTTATTTTTTTAATGAATTGTTTTTCATTCAGTCCTTTTTATTGCCAAATCATAACTTGTGAAGCTTGTCCTCTCTATTGTTCTACCATGCCCACTAAAAACTTTTAAACAAGGATAAAAGAAAATAAAAGAAGTTAGTTCAATGTAGGTGATTTTCCTAAAAGTTTTTGTTAAGGTGTTTATCTAAAAACCTATTTTCTAATTAATATTATCAAAAATTAATCATTAGATTAAAAATTTTATTTATATAAATTTTGAATATCAATTTTCATATTAATTTAGCACTTATAATCATCTGATAAAAGAAATACTATTTAATTGCTGATATATATTTAATGGTATTAAATTTTGCGTAATTAATAAACTGATTAGGCCTACAAGATTAATCACAAAGTTAACATATATGATTTATATGAATAATACTTTTAATATAAAATTAGTTTTTAAAAATATTAATTTAAAAAAAAATTAGAGAAATCCTTTAAAACACATATTGAAAGAATGGCGTGCAAAATATTTTTTTTCCAAAATAAAATGCAAAGTAAAAGGATGAAGATTAAGAAAGACTTAAAAGTATTACTACATAGTTGACTACCATAAGTGGTGATCTAGATATATAGAGAAAAACTCTAAAAGCTATAATTATTTTTTTACTAGCAAAGTTAATTTTCTTATTAATCAAAATATATAACTTATGGCAAATAAAAACTTGCAAGAAGCCAATGATTTAAGTAATCAATGTTAATCTTCTTTTGGTGAATGTAAGAAATTTTGAGTTGTATAAGATGCAAGTAAAAAGAGCTAAGGGATAGAGAAATGATGTCTCCCACTATGCAATTTTGGATTAAAAAAAAATGACTCATAAGTGAAACGAAAATTTCGCACATATTCAAATAAGAAAAATGTTATCTCTTATTGTATATCTCATCAATTAATATAACATTGCACTCTCTTCTCTACACTTCCCACACGTTAATTATTGTTTCACACGAACTTTCTTTTTGACACTTTCCACACGTAAATATGTACTTTCTACACATACTAATGCATGTATGATTTAATACAAGCATTTTTCTTTGCACTTTCCACACGTTAATATATACTTTCCACATGTATTAATGTGGGAAAACCCCTTTGCAACTTTGACTTCTCTCTCTCTCTCTCTTTTCCCAAATGCATTAAATTTAATATTGATTTTCATTTAGAGTACAAGTAAGGCACTCAACCTTTTACGTTAATATATATACATTAATTAACAATATATTGATTCAAGTGAAAGAAACTCAATTCCTTTTAAATTAGATTTCGAGTTTTAATCTTATAAATTGAAAGGTAGGAGCTGGTAAAGCTTTTCCCTTATAGGGTACAATGTAGCTCAACTTCGCATTTGTTAGAACCCAATATAGCTTCTGGATATCGAGAGTTTAATGTGTATATATATATATATATATGCACACATTATAATTGTCATGTCCAGATATAGAGTATAACGAATGTTGTACATTTATAAGTGAGACCTACAAATAAAAATCTTTTATTTGGGAGTATAATAAGAATCTCCTGAGGTTGCTTATAAATTCAAGTGTTTGACCTTATTGAAACAGTTTCTAGGTATTAAACAAACAGAGCTTATAGTAAATTGAGGTTGTTACACTTCTGATATTGTCTAAATTTTCTTAATGGAACAGTTTAAATTCTTGATAAATGAATTGCCTTCCAATTTCAAATCATGATTAAGTTGTCTAAAAATTTTAGTTTGAAAAAATTGCAAAAGTACATAGACACGAAAGCAAGCTTGAAAATTACAGCCATTAAAGCATGATTTTAAGTAGTACGCTTAACATCATACTAGGAGAAATCACAAAAGAAATCACACGAATAAATTAAACAAACTTAACCTTGAACAAATTGTTGAAGGACTTATCCTAACTTTTAAATTTCAATTTTTAGTTGGTTCACTCCTAATACCTTTAGTTGTCTTACTCCATCAACTTTATGCTAATTAAGACTCTATTTAGTATGCTTTTAGTTTTGGGTTTTGAGTTTTATTT